GGTTGACTGAAAGGCCTTGCCAGGTGAATCAATACTGCACTTAGGAAGACTAATTTGGATGTGGTTTTTAAGAGGAGAAGGAGATTAGAGACCGAGAAAGACAAATAGCCTGCTATTTCAATAATAACTTAGGCAGAATGTGGTCCCCAAGAGGGGGGCGGCAGTGGGAATGGAAGACATGGGACAGTATAAGGGACAGCGAAGACATCTTGTGATTGACTGCCGGAGAGCAGGCTGAGAAGATAAACTGTTAAAGCAAGAAACAAACATGTAAGAGCCAATTTCAGAGTAATCTTTAAATCAGTTGAATGTTCAACCACAGAACTTATCGTACTTTGCAACTTGAGGAAAAAGCATGAAATTTTCTTTCTACCTTTTCCTTCAACGTGTAGTCACTGATAATTTTTCTCACAACTCTCTCAGTTACAAGCATTTCCATTATTTTATATCGGGCACACATCAAAAGATTAAGCGAACGCAGGAAACAGCTGTGCAAGATTCGTTCTTCCAGGATTAAATTCAGTATCTTAAATTGATTTTACCACTTCCTGTGTTTAAGAGACTTCCTTCCCTGCCACTGACCAGTGGGCCACAGTTTGCAGGGTTTGCTTTTACTTATCTCTTCTTTGGTTTGCTTTAGCTGTTTTTTTGTTTTGCTTTGTTTTGTTTTTCGCTGTTTGGATACAACAGAAGTATGCTTCTGAAAAGCAGCAAAATATGTGACTGTCATGTGAAAATGACCCGCACAAGCTTCTTGAAGCTGGAATTATAAATGTGTACCTTCTTATTTTCTCTTTTGTCTGACCCCCCTATTAGGTGGTCTACCTTCTAACTATATTCAAAACCCAACCATCGCCTTTCCCAACTACGCCCTCCTCTGAATCGCCACATTCTCCCACTAGACTACTGCGCACCTTCCCTTAGATTTCTTTGTTCCCATGCTGAGCCCCAGCTCCCCAGGTCTCTCCCACACAGCAGCCTGAATGGTCCTTTGCAGGCGGAAATGGATCACACCACCCCTCTGCTCAGAATTTCCTATGCCTCCCCCAAAAATTCAAAACCGCACAGGCCCCACATGGTACAGCCACCCCTACTCCATCCTCATTTCCTGCTTCTCTCGTCTTCATTCACCCCCTGCTCCGGCCACGCTGGCTTCCTTGCATTACCCGCAATGCACCAAGGAGATCTTGGCTTTACCCGTTCCCTAGGCTTGGGAAATTCCTTGCTCAAATATCCACCTGGCTGACTCTCACATCACCCTTCAGGAGTTTTGCTCAAATCTCGGCTCTCACTCAGGCCTGTTCTGGCTTCCCTAGTCCTTGCTGTCGCCTGAGCCCAGCGCTCCCGACTCCCCTCGCTCACCCTGTTCTACTGCCTCTCACAGAGCAGACAGTTTACTTATATGTTGATTATTTAGTATCAGTTTCTCTCAACCAGAAGTTTGAGTCCACAAAGAGATCTGTGGGTTGTTTTTTTTAATTCACTGATGTGTCCCGAGTATTCAGAGCAGTGGCTCTCAGCCAGTATTTGTTAAATGGATTAATAAGCATAAAACCACAGATCAAATTTTCAGACAATGATTTTTAAAACTTAGAGGATAAGTAGAAGGTGGGGCAAATGTATGTTTACAGTTGTAAGTGTATGAAAGTTTATTCTTATATGATTATTCATTAGTTATTGTATTATTTGCCATATGAATGACTGTAAACCTACTTTTGCCCACCCACCCTGTATGCAGGGCCAATTTTTAATGATTTTTATACCTCTTAAATTACTTTGTAACTTATTATATTGTGTTTGAAATGTGAATAAAGTTGGTTCTGTTTTGCTCTTTTGTCATTGCAAGGAATCATGGATATTAATTTCTACAAGTGATCTTCCAAAGTGAAACACACAGACTCCCATCTATTTTAAGCTTTTTACTAGGTTTGCCCAAAAGCTCCCACTTCTAATTCTTCTGTGAATAAATGATGTCCTGTCCACTCTCCATCCTGTGAAGCCTTCTCAACAAAAGGGAACATAAACAAGGACCACTTGTTCATTCATGGAAGACCGTGGAGTGTGATTCAGCCACTAGAAGCAGAGGTCCAAAGTGGTCTGGTGCTGAAGTCATACTACTTCTGTTTATTCCACAGCCATCAGTATGACTAGATATTGAATTAAACTTGTAAGTCAAGATTTAAAAATTTTTGAGAACATTTTTCAGAATATGTTCTCATAGTATGATTTTATCTTTTTTGAGTTCATTGTAAAAAAAAGATGGTTTATTACCCATTTTTTAAAAAACACAAATTCAGGGTGGGGGGATTTTTTCCACCTAGGCTTGTACAGCTCAGTCATGGCTAGAATGTGCTAGATTGGGCTAAAACAACAACTTGATTCACACTCTGGATTAGAGTTACTACGATTTTTTTAAAAATTTCATCTGTTGAAATAAAAAGCCTAAATGTTATTTTAACCAAGTGTCTTGCATGTCTGTTTTTCAGACACAAGAAGAAACAAAAACAAAATCTGCCTGGGAAATATGTAAGAAGGAGGAACATATTCTGTTTCTATGAAAAATAAAATCTAGCTCTTCAATATTTATCTATTCCTAATACATTTACTCAGAAAAAAAAATGTTAGCTTAGTGGCCTTCCAAGAAATGTTCAGCATAGAACTTGAAGAAATAACAGTGGATTGATAACTCCAAAACTCTGAACAATCTTTCCACTTCAGTGACATAACTCCCTGGTCTCCTAAGCACCCCTTCGATGATTTGTGTTAAAACAGCATTCCCTGCAACATCACGGAAGAATGCCATTGCACAACGCGATTAAGCCATGATCCTTCATCTAAGAAGACAACTGGCTGCTTTTAGTTTTATCTAGAAGAGTCCAAGGTATCTGACAATACTTTTAGTAAGGTAATCTGTGATACTCATTTGCCATCATGAAAAGGAAAATGACAATATTTTAGAACTAAAATAAATGATAAAAGAGTCATATATGGGGCACTGTGGGACAGAGAGGGCATTTCAAGAAGAGAAGGAAGGAGAACCAACTAAATCCTTGCATGTTGCAGGTTAAAATAGGAGAGAGAAACAGAAAGAGAGAAAAGATGGAGAGAGAAACAGAGATGAGGAGAGAGAGAGAGAAAGAGACAAAGTAAACTGATACGTACGCTTCCTATTAAATCAACAAGAACATCTATTGAAGAGCTCAACTTCTTTAGGAGCAATAAAGGGTAATCCAATAAGAACATTGTTAATAGCCAGGAGACACATTAAGGTCTAGAGATATCATTAAGTTTGATCGATAGAAGATGAAAGATTTTTCTAAATTCAGGAGCTGATTATAAAAGAGAAAGACTACAATCATAAAAAGCTATGAATGTATGAAGAAAAGATAGATTGCAAATCTAGCTCAAAAACTGGTCTAAAATTTACCATATTCAAAATTTAATTTTATTTATATCTTGCTTAGTTCTCTGCCATAGAGATTTTGCAAAACATATTCATTCAACAAGTACTTATTTATGGTCTTGGCTGCCAGTCAAATAAATTAGAAAAGTGACCACACTTCTTCACTGACAGAGGGTAAAACCATCAGGGGTCATTATTTAAATGATATTTAATATTAAATCCAGGAACTGGCAAAACACAAAAATAGATGAAAACTTTATCACACAAAGTAGAAAATTCTAGCAGAAGAAGTCTGGTACGTGAAGGAGCTACTCTAACCTACCAGAGCCCACAATTATTTATTTAGGTCCAATGATGAGCAAGCGTCATGCTAGAGTGGAAGGAACATGTTCTAAAGCTACATTGACTGAGGTCCCAGCTCAGGTGCTCCATTGACTGGGTATGTGCCCAGGCCATTCCACCTGAGGTTCAGAGGAACCTCAGTTTCTTTTTCCATGAAGTGAGGATCGTGATATCTACTTCCTCTTGACCTGGGCACAGGACACAATTTTATAAACTAAAAACAAAAGCACTGATCGCAATGGAAGTGACGGACAAATTTGACACGGTGACATCATGGCTACCTGTTCACAAAAAGAAACCATGAAGTAGAGTTTTAAAAAATAAAAGCCATGGGGCGAGGAAGATTTCTCTCACTTTTAACTGGCAAAGGCTAATGTATAGAATAATAAATAAATCCTGTAAAGACAAAACAAAAATAAGACCACTAAAAATGCAGAGAAGACTTGAGAGACATTTCACAAAACAAAATCCAAATGGCCAACGCACATGAAAGGATGCTTGGCCTCATTCGCAGTTAGTGAAATGCAGATTGATACTATTACTTCTCAGGACTGTATGGGTGGGGGAGTGAATATTTAAAGTACCCCCATATAAGTCCTGGTATGAGGTATGTATACAAAATCCTAAGTCAACTTTCACAAAGTTCTTTACTGAACTCCTTCCAGGGGCCCTCACTATAATGCCAAAGGTAAAACAACAGTCTTAACATCCATTAATAGCCTGAACTTACCCTGGATGTTTGCAAAGATTAGAGTCAAACTTGGACTTTTCTTTCATGAACATACAAAATCATCCCACTGCAGATTTAAAGCACTAAGCCCACTCCTGGCTTCCTGCCGTCTTTCTGACTCGGGTTTCCTCTTTATGCTGTCACTTTCATCCCCTTTATGTTTGTTTTACGTTGTAGCTAGCGTATGCTTGATGTCAAACGAGAAAGTGGGACATATATGAACGTTATAAAACAGGTCTATGCAAGCACTGGCCTATCGCCGAGAGGCGCTTGGCATTACCAAGAACCCTCTGAGACTGACACATCTGTGGGTCACACACAAACACTCTTGAGTTTGTCATACCAGTGGGTTGCCATGGAGAAGGCTCAAAACCAGCACCCTGAGAATTGCACTGGCTCTTTGGCAAGCACCTTAATTTAGCCTGTTCTAAAAATGTATTCAGCAAGGTAATTTCTACTCAATTGGAAAGAATGGCATCCATGCATTTGATCAATGAACAACAGAGTAATTACGTCAGTACATACCAGAAGAGACAGAGAAGGTGCTGACTCCGCAGCTATTTCAGCATCGTCCTGTTCACTCTCACTGTAGCATTCTATAACAAAAATGCAAATGCTTAATGTTTCAATGCCATCATCGCTTACTCCATAATGTGTGAGCACAGGTTTCTCCATCCGGCTACTGCGATTCCACTCCAATTCGGAAAGTACTCATCTAGTGAGCTCCCAGTCTCCATGGGGTTACAGAAGAGGGGAAAAACGAATGTCCACGTCAGGGTTTCTGCCCTCAAGGAGAGTCCGATACACAGGCAGGGGCCTAACTAGAGCTCCAGGAAAATACAAAATAATTCCTCCAGAGATGTGAGTCACATACTAAGGAAGCACAAAATCAGTGGTGATTAATTCTGATCACAGGAATCATAATGAGCTGAAATTGGAAGGCTAAGTTAAACCATTAATGGTGTCAAGAGTGAATGTGAGTACAGGCCAACCATGCAGGCTGAGCCAAGCACACACAGTCTCCTAAATGAGATGGTGGGGAAAGAAATGGAAGGTTTCCTTCAGGCCATAACACGGAAGGCCTTGCATGCCAGGAGAAGGAGAGGCTTTTATGTAGTTGTTTCTTTTCCCACTATCTATAACGGTACCTTAAAACTAGAACCATTTATTTTATGGAAAATAAGACCAAGGAGATAGTTAGGACATTGATTTCGTAGTACTGTAATGTGCCTCTTTATTGTGTTAAACCCAGTTGCCACTTTCTATGTCTAAATTAAGGGTGTTTGATTTTGTTATCCAAAGTTCCAATTCCCAAATTCCATGAGGTTTGGGCATATCAGAACAGTATCAGCTCTGTGACCCTGGTGGCTAATGTCTCCTTCTGCTTCCTATTCAGGAGTCCTTGTCTCATTAAGAGGAATTAGACACCAGTAGCTGTGAACCCTGAAAGCTATGGACTGAATTAAAAGATTGAGACCAGGCCTGCGTCCCCATCTGAACTTCAGGTTCTTAATACAAACTTTGGGCAATCATTCTCGGCACACATCTGGTGAAAGGAAATAGCGGGATGAAAGTTATCTGTCTAGATCGTGATGAGATGATGCCTATGAGTAATAATCCAGTAAGTGGGGCAATAAAACATTTGCATTGGCAATTGTTTGAGATGTGATCGGAGCCCACAGCGCTAACGAGTGGGTGAAGTGTGAAAAGCTTTCACAGCCAGCATAGGAAGCTCTATCCCATGCTGGGGAGTCGGTGTGATTACGTGTCTCCGTATTTCCAGACCACTTTAAATGCCAAAGCGAAGACCAGACTATGCATAGGACTTGGTATCGTTTTCTCATCTTCTTTCTTCCTGTTCTAATATTCTTGCTAAATTTTCAGAAATTTAAGATAGAACATACCTTCATCCTTTGTAGTGGATTCTTGATGAATTACAGATAATCCAAGCTTGTTTAACCACCTGAAATGTAAATAGAAAATAAGTGTTAGACCAAGAGATTAGTCACCTACCTATTCACCTTTTATCTAGACCCTGAGAAAAGGTTTCGTGTCAGATGTTGTAATAAAGTTAGGTCATCATTCTACAGTCAGTCTAAACATTTCCAGAAATAGCTTGTATTTGTGGTATCAAAACCTAACACCTCTGGTTTTACAATATTCTCCTTACTCAGGGCATCCTTTGCAAGGGAAGAAAAGAAATGAGGTGGTCCATTGTTCAGATGGCTACTGTGGGCAATGACATTAGGCATTCTAAATATATAAACAAATACATCTTTTCCAATTGTACATTTGAAATTTTTAACAACTGTGAAAATCTTTATTATTAAATTCAGCAACTTGACCATGAAAATTTTCAATCTATAATTCTTAAAATGTCTGTTTATTTCACACACAAAAAATAAAGTGATACATTTTAACTAGGGTTTTTATATTAATCAGTAAAACATCTGGCCAGAGCTGGACCGGTGTTCCTAAACTGGGGAAAATTTGAATTCTTTGAAAAACTTTATTTAAAGTAAAAATTGTCCATGTCATGTCTTCTATTGATTTCTCATTCTGTGTGTTTATTTCTGAGAAACGAGAGCATTCAGTAGTGGCCTAAGTCCACCAGTCCCAACAAACTGACAACAACAATGCTATCCGCTTCAAGATTCACTGACACGTTTCGTTTCCTCTAGCCCTGTAGTGCCTCGTGAACTACTTGGCATCATGCTGCACCCCCACCGTGACGTAAGTATTGCACGTTCTCAATTGTCAATAAATTAGGAATCTGTACTCAGCCCGCAGCCTGTGGGGGACTTGCTGTATTGATAACAGAAAGTAGATAATAAGTTTGATTTTTACAAATAAACAAAATAGGACTACCTACAGGAAAAAGGTGACTTCCAGTCTCATTTATGAAACCCCCTTCACTCAGCTCCATGTACTCTTAGTGGTAACTTCAACTGAGAACGATACCTGGGCCCCGGTCATGCCACAGGAACCGGAAAATGTTCATCAAGACCCAATAGGATAATAAAAAAGCAAATTAACAGGAAATCACAAAAAAATACAAATGGCTAATAATCATATGGAAAAAATTCTCAGCTCCCATCGTATTTTGGGTAGTACACATTCAAACACAGGGAAATATTTTTCACCCCCAGATAGGCAAAAATTATAAATATTTCTGGTTTGTAGAATATAGGAGAAAACATGCTAATCCTTCGGTGAGTTGAACATGAAAATTGATTCAGCCCATTTTAAGCAGGCAACTCAATAATACTACTCAAAATTTAAATATCCATCCCTTTTGCCCAATACTTCTAATTATAAATATTTATCCTACACAAACACAACTTCATTTACACAAATGTGGGAAAATGTCAGCTCAACAAGCCTTGCAATGGCAAAAAGAAAAAAATGACGACAATATCATCGTCCATCCAGAGGACAATGGAAACACAAGGGGCAGCGGTGATTCCCTCTGCAGCAGGTGACCGTGGAGTGAATAAAAGTCCAGACAGGGTGTCTTGTAATGGCCTGGAAAACTCCCACCATAGTGTTAAGTGAAAAAAGCAAGAAAACAAAACACGTTTAGCCTGATTCAATGTACTTTTAAAACTACACCTCTGTGTATGTGCACAGGTTGCTATGCAAAGAAAGCATCAGAAAAGATACACACAGCAAACTGTGAAAGGTGGTTAATGCCAGGGACAGAAACTGGATGTATGGGAAGCTTTTCCCTTTGCATTCTTCTGTATTATACAATCTTTTACAAGAACGTGTGTTATGTGTTACTTAACTAAAAAAATATGTAAAAGTACACTTTTAAACTCGATCAGGCAAAGCACAATGAGTTCAATGGTTCATTTTTAAAATACCCAAGTAATCTAATTCTTAGTTTATGCATAATTTCACAGTTATATAAGCTGAACCTCCCCCCCACAAATACACATCTAAAAATAAATTGGACAAAAAAAAGTTTTTTCAACATGTCAAGACAAAAGCAGTTTTAAATTGAGAATGCCTGAAACAAGCAAGGGCATTTCTAAGTTCCTTCCAGAACATGAAAATACAGAAACATAGCAAAATGGAAGAGTGCTGACAGTGAAAAAAATAGATTCCTCTCAGCCTGTAGCCAAAAACATGTCCTTTTAATTATCACTATTAGTTCCTTGCAGTGAAAAACCGGTGACGGATTAGAATCTTGTTTGACAGTTTTCCTTCTAGAACCTACTGGCTTAGAGTACCTCCTTTTGCTAAGCACGTTTCTTAAAACATGGAAGCAGTAGAAAAACTTTCTATTTGTGGCTAAATAGATGGATGCACAAAAGGCTTATATTTACAGAAAAGACGACAGATGTTTCCTGGGAGTTTGTTGCATATTGGCTTGACATGAATGTGTGTGTTAGAGAAACACAAATGTTAAGAAACTGATGTGCAACACGAGAACAAGCTGCCCGCAAACACGGGGAGGAAGACCGCTATCCCCAGTGTACGTTTGGAAACCAGCTCTTTCATCACCCTGAACGGCTTGCCCCGTCCGTGTAAACTGAGGGTTCCTTCCGAGTGCATTCACAGCACTCCTATTAAACATAGTTATCTTTCCCTCCATCGTCCCTGAGAGAAATGTCACCATCCAAAAATGCAGTTTCCCATGGAGGAGACCTTCTAAAACATGACCCCTCTCCCCAAATGCCACTCCCTCCCTCCACGCCCAGCATCTCCGCATCTCATGAGGAAACACCCAGATACACGATGGACTGGCTTAAACGGGCCGCGTCAGTGTGAAAGGAAGCTCTTCAGCTGCTCTGGCAGAACAAATCTTTCTTTCCTTTTTTTTTCTAAGAACAATTCTTTCAATGTCACGTGAACAACCTTGTGCAAGAAGGCAGAAGTTAACCTGAAGGCCCAAAGAGATTCTGCATCGTCAGCTATGAGAAAAACCGTCTTCAGAATAATGAAACTTAGTACTGATATCATAAATAAAAGAAATTATAATACATTCAGGCACAGACAAAATGGGGCGTTAATCTATGAGAGGCCAGATGGACAATTTTCAACTATAAAGGGCATTCAAAACTCTGGGGTCCAGACAGCTTCCATCCAAATTTCAATTTCCATCTTGTATGTAAGCTGGAAAGATAAATGCTAACATAATTTCAAGTAAAATTAACAGATCTTCACAGCACAGACAGGCAATGAGGTCTTGGCTTTGGGAGCTAGGAAAGGCTTTGATTTAATAGCCAACCACCAGACAGAGTGTGTATGTCCTAGGTATAGCTAATGCTCATGCAAATCGAGTTGCTGTTAGCTCTTGCTCAGCAAAGGGAAGACATGAAAACTGAAGACAAGAGGACCAGAAATGTAAACACCAACTAGAGAAGAGGGTGAGCAGGAAGCGAAGTAACTGCTGGTGTGTGATTTAGAGAACAAATCTGCCCGAACCATAACAGCTTGAATAACCTTGCAAAGGTCACACACTTGCACTGGTTTACAAATGTATTTTGCTACCCCAGGAAGAGAAATTCACTAGGCAACAAAACACTGAGCACTGACTGTTTCTCTGGTAAACTCGGTCTCCTTCTTCTCTTGTCAGAGAGAACAGAACTCCTTTGAAGAACAAGCCACAGGATGGGTAGGAAGGATGTAGACAGGAAGGGAGCTGGAGATACAAGATGCTGTACGAAAGAAGCGAAGCACAGCAAGAAGTTACAGGGAGGGGTCCGGGAGGCAGCAGAGTCATTTAGGGTCAGATGGTGGCTCAGCTCCAGACTATCTTAGGGTCCCAAGTACTGCTAAGCACACACCCCGAGTAAGCCTTCCACACATCCCTTACAAACCTAGGGCTTTAATCAATAGGATTTAGAGTTAACAATGCCAATAAAAAGAAAAAAAATAGAGAGCTTTGACTATGAAGCTTTTTAAATCTTCTCCTTTTGTGTATCTGCTCTTATTTTTTTCAGATGCTTAAGAAAGCCAGACAGGAAAAGCTAAAATCAGAAAGAAGGAAGAAACAACTTCTCTCTTTGTCCAATTAAATAAAAGATGTGTTTGAGAGACTCAGTTGTCAGTTCCTTGCCTTGTTATTGCCGACACTGGGTTTCTCAGTCAAGAGCCATTCTGCCCTCTTATGAAGGGGTGTGGTGGGAGATGCGTGTAGGGAACCGACGAGAATGCTTCTAGTTAGACCAGGCTTGTGATGGGGCATCATCCTGCAAGAGACACGTGTGTGTGTGTGCCCATGTGTGCTCATGCATGCTTGTGAAAAGCAGCTTCTTCGCTCTTTAAGTTTCTAGAGCAAGGGGGCAAAGAGAAGTTACGTAGGGCAGAGAGAAAAGAAAATCATTATATATAAATAAATGAAATACACTAAGCCATGAACTCTATGACTGGAGGAATTACATCTGTATGCTTTATTTCTATGGCCTACAAGGGGACCCAGAGCAGGTGTGCCATAGACATATTTTAATTAGTAGTGTACGTTAATAAGGGACACTAAGAATTCTGAAAATAGAGCTTAAATTGAATAGGATGCCCTCTGAAAGCTCAAGCACCTCATTCAAATAACAGTCATTATGACCACATCAGGATCGAAACCAGCAGGGGATGGAGTGGGGCAGGGAGGACTCTATGCGTGTATTCCACTTACTTAGACAGAGCAAACAGAAAACAGAAATTTGGGGATACAAAATTTTTAGTTAGATACACGTTGAGCAAGAAGGTTCTGCAAAATATTTGGGACTGAACATGGAGAGGTAAGAAACACACAAATCATTGTGATAACCATTCGGCACATAGGAAATGCTGTAAAAGTCACAATTCTGAAAGCTGTGAGATCAGTTGCATAACACTTTCAGGCCTTTCTTTTAACATTTTCTTATAATGACTTTTGTCTCTTCCTTTCTCAGTTTAGCGTTCCCCACAGAAGAATCTCACTACTTCTTCTTAAAATAGCCATTTTGATGTGGTCCCCCAAGCTGCTTCCAAAGAAGAAAACAAGAAGACGCTATGGCTGCTGAAGAGATGCATACTTAAAGCAGCAGAAATAAAACAATAATTGATATGAACATACGTGTAAAATTCAAACTCCTGACCAAAGTAAGTCTGTTCCCATAAAGACTGGATTTAGCAATTTCCTCTACTTACATGTTCATTTCCTGCGTATTCTCAGCTGCGAAATAAAAGGTCTTGATCTGTGGGTGGCTGACCTTAAAAGCACTTGAGGGGGAAAAAAAAGCATAGACACATATAAAATTAGTGAGTGTAATCATCAACAGGTTGGAAATTGTATCAGTCAAATATAAGTATGGTAAGGTCACCCACTCCCTTTGTAAATTTACAAAAAATAATCTAGTCACACCAAATACCTATTATCTAATCTCTATTTCATTTAAAAACAGAGGGTTAATTTATCATATCAGAACATCCAGAACAGGACTGAGTCTTGGCCACCCAATAGTTTCTATTTAAAACACATGGGTAGCCCTGGCTGGTGTGGCTCAGTGGATTGAGCACGAGCTGCAAACCAAAGTGTCACAGGTTCGATTCCCAGCCAGGGTACATGCCTGGGTTGCAGGCTATAACCCCCAGCAACTGCACATTGATGTTTCTCTCTCTCTATCTCCCTCCCTTCCCTCTCTAAAAATAAATAAATAAAATCTTTAAAAATAAATAAATAAATAAATAAAACATATGGGTATATTATCTTATTTTCATTCACTAACTATGTTTCTATAAGAGACAATAAATTAAAACTCAGAGTGATAGAAGTATCGCTTCAAAGTACTTAGATAAACCCCTTCAAATATTAATTCAATCAAATATGTACAGAATTTATTTATAGGAAAACAATCAAGCACAGAATTTCCAAAATGCTATAACCCATCTAAAACCTTATCCAACCACCCCCTAGTAAAGAAAACAATATAAGGGAGACTTTCAGTTTAAAATCAAAGTATAAAACATTAAAGACAGCAAATAATAAAGTGTTTCCCCTTCACCATCCAGACTGGAAGTCCTACACTCTGGGCAAAGCTATTTAGAAACACATGGTCCAAACCACAGGAATCATCACAAACTCCTGTGTCATTGGATACATGCGGCTACACCAGAGGGGCAAAGACTTAAAATTAGCACCAGTTTATTCATTGTTTTAGAAATAAATGAATCAACTCCCGCTACTAGTAACACAGACCAATGGGAAATGCTCCCTTCCAACAAAACGGGAAAAGATGTCAAAAGGATAAGAAAGACTAAGAAAAGGGTGGAGAGGACACATGGGAAATGCAGCAGGCTGCTGTCAAGCGCACCTGACTCGAGGTCAGGAGAGCGGGTCCAGAGCCGGCCCTCCCGTGAGTTCTAGGCTGTCCTCTTCTCCGTAACGTTAGGACCACGGCTGATGACTTCTGTTCCTGCTCATTCTCTAATCTTTTGAATTTAAATTATATCAGGGTGTAATCCCCAAGGCTAAGACATCTCAAGGGAATTGAATTTCAGTGGTGCTACTGCTAATTCTCTAAACTAAGAAAAAGTAACTGGTTTTGCCATCTTATAGACAGCTCTGAATTCTATTTAATTCTATTTAACTAGTCACTCTCGTCACATGGACAAAATCTTGACATCTGACCTCCCTGCCAGCTCTGGAAGGAGCGTGTGGTTAATTCCATCACAGACACAGTCGTCAATGACAGGCCATGCCAAGGCTCCGCGGGGCTGTACGATCCATCTGCTCCACAAAGTGAAACTCCTGAAAATAACAGGTTAAAAGCGTCTATTGTGGTCTAAGATGCCAACCCATAAGAAACTCAACGTTCTCAGACATGGTGTGCCACCTTCATTAACTTCCAAATCACCACATCACCCCAGGGGCTTTATGAAGGGAGGTGATCCTGGCTCAGAGTTTTCTGGAAAATGATAAGACAACTTACTGCTTTTTTTTGCATTCGGATGCTCTCTCCACAGTGAAATCAGACAGTTTGACAAATCCATCAGCTTTTTCTGCCTGAAACACATGCATACCACATATATGAATACATGCAGTAGCTCTAGTAGTCAGTTTATTGAGATTACCTTACATACATTCAATAAGATAGCATAAATAAAATAAAGAAGAATCAAAAGATATCCCCATGAATCAGCATTGGACTTATCCTAGATACACATTTCACTAAGGGATTTAATACTCGCCTATAAAGTCATCTAGAATCTGTCCACGAGCAGTAACATGACACAGCTGCGGGATGGCCAATGGAGGGCACCCAGAGGGCCTTGCCTGCCCCTTCCTCTCTTCCGAACCCATGGGAGCTCTGCCTCCAGCTGAGCCTACGGCCATCTGCAGCACCACTCTCATCCCAGGACTCTAGTGAGCCACAGCACAGAAGACGGGGCCTAATTAGCACTCACATATATGGTGGACAGAGGCTTGACGTTGGAGTGAGTAAATCAAGGTTCTTAGTAAGAATCAACCACATACTGGTGATTAAAAGACTTAAATGAGCCCTGGCTGGCGTAGCTCAGTGGATTGAGCGCAGGCTGCGAACCGAAGTGTCGCAGGTTCGGTTCCCAGCCAGGGTACATTCCTGGGTTGCAGGCCACAGCCCCCAGCAACCGCACATTGATGTTTCTCTCTCTCTCTCTATCTCTATCTCTATCTCCCTCCCTTCTCTCTCTAAAAATAAATAAGTAAAAACTTTAAAAAATAGTTTAAAAAAATAAATAAAATTGTTTAAAAACAAAAAGACTTAAATGAGCTCAGGTGAATAAAACACTGAACAAATACCCAACTAACATTACTTCTTCTCCCAAGACTGTAGGGAGTTCCTTCGGGAATAAATCACAGAGTCTTATCTGGGAAAAATCTCAGCTCCATAGTCAATTCCTGGGAGTTCTTTCTACAAAGGAAAGACTGACAAAGAAAATGACATTTTTGAGACATAAATGCCACCTTGAAACATCAGTACTTTCATAGGAAATGTAATCATTCTCCCACCTCTCGAAGAATGTGTTAGTCTTTACTATGTGGATAAAGTTTAACTGGACCACAAGGAAGCTAGATTGCTTACGACGAATAAAACTTAAATCTTCTACCCTCTGCACGGGTGTCTGAGGGGAGAAGTACAGGCCACAAGAATGAACATGGATTAGTCAATGGTTGTTGGGAGGGAAGCAAAAAATGATTCTGAAAATACAATCCTAATTTAAAAAATCAGCCAGATATTAAATTAGCACCATGGATGTTCTTAGTTTATGTCATCTTTCCCTCACTGCCAACTAGAGCACAGCCTGCCCTCCGTTCTGCAGAAAAATTCAACCGAAACATCCAATCCTATGCCTGTCTTATGTTTCCCCCCTACATGAGTCAGTTTACCCAAAGCATTTCACTTGAAATGCTTTTTTCTTGTAAGACTCAAAGTTCAATTCTAAAGGGCACTTCCTAGATGGGCACTAGATTTATCGTAAGTTATGCCAATGTTGAATCACTATGTTGTACGCCTGAAACTAACCTAATATTGTATGCCACCTGTAATTGTCATTGAAACATAAATTTTAAAAAAATAAAGAGGTAAAAATAAAGGGCACTTCCTTAAAATTGTGTACCTGTACTTTTATAATATATGCGTATTTTTTAAATCCAACTTCTCTATTTCTTGATGAGCTCTTTATTAATTCCTCGATAGCAGTCTCACCAACTTATCTCAAAGAGAATGAGAACTACTTAAAGAACACAGACTGGGCAAATTAACACTTTCTACACTGCACGGTGCTTCCTGCGGATTCCCAGTTAACATTATATAAAAGTATAGTTTCGAAAAGCTGTGTCGGGCTCCAGCAATTCACCCTTCTACCCAAGAAAGTGAAAAACAAGTGCTCCAACAAGCGCATGTACGCGCACAAGTGCAGCCGCATTATTTGCAATGGCCAAAGGGTGGAAAGAGTCCACATTCCATCAATGGAAGAAGAGATAAACCCATTGTGGTATAGCCATACAATAGAATATCATTCAGCCATCAAAACAAATGAAGAACTACATGTGATAATGTAAATAAACCTGGAGAGCACTATGCAAAGTGAAAGAAGCCAGAAATGAAATGTCACACATTGTACGATTTCATTTATATGAAATATCCAGAACGGGTAAATGCACAGAGAGAGAACACAGATTAGTGGTTGCCAGACACTTGGGGGAGTAGGAAACGGGGAGGTACACAGCTTAATGCGCACAGGTTTGCCTCCGTGTGTGATGAAAGTATCTGGAACTAGACGGAGGTGATGGTCGCACAGCACTGAGAGTGTGCTAAACGGCACTGCACTGCTCGCTTCAAAACCGTTCATCTTGTGTAAATATCACCTCAGGGAAAAGAAACCTATGTCAGGCCGAGGCATTTTTAGACAAATTTCTATAATCATGTTAGAATAAAAAATAAAATAATTTATATTAACCATCTGTCTCTACTTCCTCCATCCATTCACCTCTATGTCCACTGTTCCACAGGGGTGGTAGTTACCAGGAGCCCGGTGACATCCATGTTGCTAGGTCCCACCTACCTTGATGAGCCCTCACTTAATTGAACCCATAACTGATACTGTGGCCTGCCCCCTCCACCTTGAAAAGCCTCATGCCCTGCTTTTTGGTATTTCTGTGGCTCCTCTTGTCCTCAAACTACTCCTTGCTCTCTTTCTATGGGTCTCTTCCTCCTGTCTGCTCTTAAATGGCAATATTCCCAGACTTCTGACCACGAACCCCTTCTCTTCTCATTCCAATACTCTTTGCGGGGCATCATTCACACTCCCGCAGCTGCACGTATCACCACCGTATACACACATCCAAAAGCTGTGCTTCAGACTGGGATTCAACCCAGAGGTCCTGTCTCAGGGATCCAGCCGCCTCGTGTCCCTAGCTGCATGGGTATTCCATGGGCTCCCCACTGTGAACTGAATGTGTCCCCCCAAATTCATATGATGAATACCTAATGCCTACTGTGATGGTATTTGGAAGTGTAGCCTTTGGGAGGTAATTAGGTTTAGATGAGGTCATGAGGGTAGAGTCCCATGATGAGATTAGTGCCCTCTTTTTAAGATTTTATTCATTTATTTATTCATTTTAGAGAGAGGGGAAGGGAGAGGGAAACATTGATATGACAGAGAAATATCAATCAGTTGCCTTTTGCACGCCCCCAACCAGGGACATGGCCCACAATGCAGGCATGTGCTCTGACCAGGAGTCAAACCAGCAACCTTTCGGTTTACAGGACAATGCCCAACCCGCTGAGTCACACCAGTCAGGGTGAGATTAATGCCTTTTTAAGAGGAGCCCAGCGCCCCTCTCTTACCTCCATGTGGAGATACAGAGAAAGGCAACTGTTTGCAAACCAGAAAGAGAGCCCTCACCAGACACAGAATCTGCCAGCACTTTGATCCTGGACTTGCCTGCCTCCAGAACAGCAGGGAATAAATGCTGGCTGATACTCAGTTATAGCAGCCCAGGCTGACTGAGATATTCCCTAAGAGTGACAAACCCAAAACCAAACTCATCCTCTTACTCCACACCATGCCTGTTCCTGTTTCTCCCGTGTCCTCTGCTTCAATCAGTGACACTGCTTCCATGCAGTTGTCAAAAGATACGAGACACGTCTTTGCCTCGTCCATCTCCTTCTCAGCGCCCGTGCAAGTTGTATCACCTGCGCCTCTGTCTCTGCCCTTCAACACGCCTCTTCCCCACCATTTCCTTCAGGTCACCGCTCACCTCGCCTGAATTGCTGGAAAGTCTCCCGTACCGTTCCCCCTCTCCCTAGTTCTGTCGTTCCCTCCGGTTATCACTGCAACGGCACAGCAAGAGCAAAGCTTCATGAACGTTCTTCACGTCACTTTCTTCATTAAAATCCCGCACGGTTCCCAATTGCCCTTGGATGAAGTCTATGTGCTTTAGCAGAGTATAAAAGGCCCTTCATTATCAAGTCCTGCTTAATTATGCAATTTCATTTCCTCCAGTGTCCCTGCTCCTTACTCAGCCAAAATAAACAAAGAAACGAAAACACTGAAAATGTTTCCATCCAGCTAAATTAGAATTGATATCCAATGGATTGCATTATTTGTCTCTAGACGATTTATTTTCAGTTCCAAAAGCCCATCTCAAGCAATAACAACACAAAAAAATCAATCAACAAAAAAATGAAATATTCATATGCCTTTACTAGATGTGTTATTTGTTTAGAATAAAAAATTGTAAATCTTCATTTGGGTGGATTGATTTTCTGCATTAGCGAATGGCTGAGATTCCTTCACCTGAGACCCTAAATAAATCCGAGTGAAAGACGCCTTTGTGTTTCCCCAGTAAAGTGTTTCTTTACGAGCAAAGGCATGTTCCACTGTTTAGAAGACATTCAAGATATGCTCAAAATCAAGACAACTGTGTCAAAAAGTGTCCTTGCTTCTTTGACTTGCAAAAACAATGCCTCAAAAATGACAATCACAAGAGGCAAATCCTGAAGCAATGACAGTTTTCTCCTCTTCCTCCTCCTTTCCCTCCTCCTGCTCCTCTCAGATCCCTTATTCCTTGTTACAGTAACCCAAATAGTGTTCTCAAATGATATCCTTCCTCTTCAAGAATTCTTAACTTTCTGGGACATTACTTGAAAGTTCTACATTGATACCTGCAAACAATCCTCTGTATCCCAAACTTACAAAAAAAAAAAATTGCTTTCTTGCCAGAGGTATCAAGCCACCCTTTGGCCATGGAGGCAACTTGTCTTACCAAGTCTAGTCTTAACCCTGAAGCGAGACAAGCCCGTCACTTTGTGGTATGACGTTTCACAAGATTAAAGGTGTTCCTCCTCACCAACCAGATCACCCACTTTTTCCAACAACGCTGATTTTGTTTGTCCCCGTGGAGTCTCACCTGCTCTTGCTGTCATTAGGCAGCACTGAATGCATGTTTTTATCAAAACTGTTAGGGTTACGCATGCATTTATTCAACATACATATTTGAGTGGCTTCTTTGTGTCA